CTGAACAGAAAGCTCAAATACTGGACTGTCCAGTTCAAAACCGGACACCTGGCAACCCTAATGCCATGGCACATTTGTAGTCAGATGTTCCATCCAGAACCTTCCAGAAGCTGTTGTCAGCTCATGTTTTGTGATTAGCTGATACCATATGGATAAATTACATTCTATTTACAGTTTGTCATAACTTGTGGTTTACTTAAGTTTACCTGTGCCTCAAGCCTCATGTTAACAGCTAAAGCCAACGTCTTACAGGACACAAGCATGTAGATTCCTTGCATTACTGCCAATATGATATTATACAAAGCAGTGAATATAACAAAGGTAAACTGGCCCAATGGGCTATGAACACATATGAACACAGATATCCACACATTTGCTGATTCTAGGATATGAAATCTGTATCTACACCCACATCCGTATTCGCAAAAACAAGCCATGGATATGCGCATCCACATCCGCGGATGCAGATACCCTCAGATTTGCAGGGCTCTAGATAACACAGCCCAGCTTTTAATCAGGTTAACATTCAAATGCAACCCCCGACTCCCATACAGGCTTTACTTGAGCTTCAAACCCAAGATAATAGTGAAGTTTTCATGCCCACACTGCTATTTTAACCTGTTAGCTAACCTGAGTTAAAAACTATTCATTTACTGTATTTACAGTGTAACTGTACCCTAGTAATTTTAGGTGTTTAAATCCCATTGAAAGGCAATAAGAATCAGTCAATTAAGTCACCAATGCACTTCTGAATTTTTTATCCAGGTTTCCTACATTGAAGAACTTAGAACTTAGCTAAAAACAAAATGTCCCAAAATGAGTATAACCAATGGAAGGAAAAGAAGGGAAAGGAAGAATGAGGAAAAGAGTTATAAGGTTACTGACTAACAGAATATATGGGCTTACATCAACCAAACATTACTACCTTCATTTTGCTTTTCAAGGTATTTCCAGTCATGTATTAGTTTCAGTCACTAACTTTCAAAAAAATCAGGTAGAAATCTAATAAACATAATTGTAAATGTAAATGATCAGTTATGAATTTAATAAATACAGCACAAATTCTCTAAGAGATGAGCTGGCATGAAAATTTATGCCCACACAAAGCCCATCAGAGGCATAAGGGGCCCACAGCAGTGCACCTATTTATAGGATAAAGGCCTTGAACACTAGTAGCCTGATCCAGAGCACACTGAAGTCAATGAAAAAAAAAATTCCCATTTACTTTAGTGAACTTTGATGAATCAGGCTGTAAATATACAATTCAGAAGAAAGTCAGTTAAGTATAATAATTTACTGTCTGTCTGCACACTCTGCTCCATTTGATATCAATGTAACAGCATATATCCTTAAAAGTGTGCTCTTACAGATCATTCTAATTTTTATTTATAAGATGATGGAAGCAATTATCTGAGCTAACAATCTTTCCTATAGGCTGTTAAAAAATTATGAAGTAGTAAGCAAAAAATGATTTCTTTATTCTGTAAGACCAAATCTTTTTTGTATCCCTTCATGATGAAGTTAAACAGATCTTTTCACCAAACATGCAGAATTTATACACTCTGCTGCCCTTTAATTCTCACATATTGAACTGTGAGGTGCAGACTTTGGGTGTGCTTTAAAATCCACACTTTTGAAAATCATGGTCAGATGGAACCCAAATACAATACAACTTATTTAAACATTTTTGTGTTTGTTGTTTGTTCCCCACCCCATTTCATTTTTTCCCTAAGAATTCTTTCATAAGTGTCCAGAACATTTCTAATCTTTTAAAAATAAAGTTTCTTTCTGATTTAGCCAATGACAGACAAAATAAATGTGTGGGGATTATGTTGTTGTTTTTTTTGTTTGTTTGTTTGTTTGTTTGTTTAGTTGGTTGGTTGGTTTTAGGAATTATTTTTCAACCAGTATAGCTGTGTATATTAATCATGCTCATCAGGACTGAAGAGCAGTGTGTAAATTTTATTGGGGGGGGGTCTATGGAAATATGGGGAATTTTTAGTATTCTCTTAAAATCTATATTCTTTTAACTGAAATTCTTCAAGCTAGTACATTTTTATTATTTATTTACAGCACTCATCATTATAGTATCAAAACTCAGCCAAGTTAGGTTTCTTTGACAGAAATGAAATATACACTTACTAATATAGTAACAAACTGGAAAGCTTCAAAACTACCCTAATGATAACTCACAAAAAGGACCATTTCTTCAATGCAAATCCTCACAAGAAAAGCTTCTACACACAAAGTAAGATGAACCAGTTACTGCATTGTTTATTAAATTTCACTTGATTCCTCTTGACAACCATTTAAACAATGAATGTTGGGAAATGTCCCTCAAAGAATCAACAACAATAGTAGGGATCAGAGCTTTTATATTTAGCTAATACTGTTCTTAAAAAGAAGAAAATATTTCTTCCTGAAGGGATTATAGAAAGTCTTATAAAAGACACCTCAAACAAAATAAGTGACAAAAGATCTTTATCATAATGGATAACAGTTATCCTCTGTAGAAATCTCTGCTTCCTTAGAGATAAATAACATAATATAACTTTGCTACTAAATTCAATATGTATTAACTAATAGGTGCTGGCAACATTCAGCAGTGGTACATTTAAACAAAGAGAGGGAATGCTTTTCTTCTCATGCTCAAAAGTTCAATAGCTAAATGTAATAAACTTGTAATAAGATTTAACTAAGTAAGGCTTCTTTTTCTTATGCCCAAAAGAACAGGAAGCTCTGAAATCTGTGTACAACAAAAATAATTTAAATAATTTCAGTAAAGACTCTGGACATATACCACTGAACAATTCTATATTAGGCATATGTCTTAAACAAAGGTTGTGTGTTTTCGTATACAGTGCAAAATTTAGAATGCCTGTCTTTCAACGACTTAAATGCCCTATTTACGAGAGATGAACTAAGTAGCTAAGCCCATGATATTTTGGATGGGAAACTTTTGCAAACTGCAGTTTTCACAATATGGATAAGAGGACTGATGATAGTCAAAAGAACAAAAACTTCACATTTATAATGAAATACTTGATCAGTTTAGTTTGTGTAAACATATACACTGAGTTTGCCCCTGTTTGCTTGTAATAGCTGAGTGCTTACCATCTAAAGTGGCAAGCACTTGAAAGATACATGTAATAATATTAATTACCTGTACTAGTCAGAAAGACATATTTTTATCTCTCAACTTCCAGAAACTCTACAATGGAACAGACTCCCCACACACACACACACTCTCAAATGGGTGACCATATGGAACATGTTAACACTAAATTGTGGACTACAATGTGGAACATCATTTCACCTTTAATTGACTGTTCACCGCTGTTCCCTTCCCCTCAGTTTCTCAACACTTCCCCTTTCATTTTATCCCCTAAATTCTTTCCAATCTCCTCTGCAAAATCCCTGTTCTCTGAGGTCTCAGAAGCTGCGGTAGCTTTGGCAGAAGCCACCAAGCTTTGTGGGGGAGAGAGGAGTTTCGTGCTTATTACAAGGGGGAGCCAATCAAATACCAGAAGCAACAGCAAAGCCATGTCGTTTCACTGTCCGCAACCTGAGCTTACCCAGACTTGTGCATAGTGAGGAGAACAGAAGCACATTATAAACAGCAGAGGAGGCTAGCAAATGAACAGTATGCAGAGCAGTCTGGGAATGCAGCAGGACACAAATGCATTGCCTAATCGAGTTGAAATGAAGCAAGATGTCTTGTCTAATAAAAGATAGCTGATAAGTCTAAAGACAGAAAAAGTTTGGATTCCATATAAAATGGCCAATATAAAAACATTCTACCAGATTGTTTACCTTTTATGCATAGAACAGATTTCTTGTATACATTGGAAATTCAAAAGCTTATTATTAAGAATTAGGTAAGCAGCAGAAAATAGTTAAAATATTTACATTTTCTAATGGAAGTCCTACAAGCAGATTTTTTAAAAAGCCCCATCTCCCTCCCAAAGGGGTCTATTGAACTGAAGTACTTCAAAAAATAAGGAAAACATTCAATCTTTAGGCCTTACGGTGTTTTCTAAAAATGTGGTTTAGCTATCAATTTCCTAAATTAGTTTTTAAGCACACTTCAAGAGTTAAGTATTAACAATGTGATAAAAGTAAGTTTTACAAACCCAAAGTACATTTAATTTCAATATGAAAATATAGGTGAAATCCCTATGGCATCATCAGGATAAAGCACTAAATAATATTACCATAGGAAGCATTTCTGAATAGGTAGACTGACGAATCCACAGATGACCTAATCAATCTTTTTCATCTCTGATTTCTGCAATTCTGCATTTTAAGTCTACATGCATTAAGAGTATTTTGGACATATAGCAGTTGTTTTCGTAAACATTTTATTTTTGCAGAATTCATGAAAATCACTAATTGGGATGCCTGTCAAATTCACCATAATGCCATGTAATCCTTTCGTGTCACTAAAATTCTTTGTGCTTACAGACATTTTTCTATTTGCAGTAGGTTCCTTCTCTTGTTCCTGTTAAGACTATTATTTTCATCTGTTATTACTAATCATCTCTTTGTAAATAGCCACACCTATTTTAATCCAAAATGGTGCAGTAAGCACTTGCTTCTTTGTGGAAGTACACACATAATTAGGTTAATCTGTGCTATCTTTCCATGTGAATTGATTGTTTCTTTACTTTGGACATATTTCATAACATAGCACTAGGCTTGCCAGACTGCTTGCAGGCAAATCTGGAATGCTTAACAAAGCATGTAGCTACTATGAACTGAAATCTTGACATGATCGTAAGCTGTATTGCCACTCCTATCTGCCAGATATTACTCATGATAGCTTTTCACTTGCACATTACATTTTGACCACACCTTTCTTTCACAAATAAGCACTTTCATTAAATTCACTCAACTAAAACTTGACAGATAGGTTACTGGGTTTTGTATCTCAGCTAAGTGTAGAGGACTTGAAATTCACAGTGCAAGGTAAAATTATCTAACAATAGCAACTATATTACCTGCATGAAGTCCAAAATTGTAAATGGAAGCAAATCATCCAGATGGCCAATGTCTTTGGAAAAACGATTTAGGATTCTCCCTAGAAAAACAGGATTCAAAAGATTTTTTTTCCTAAGACAATTATTTAAAAATTCACAAAAAATCAGAATAATATTTTTACAACACATTATGCTTTAAATTTTATAGACAATTTAATAAAAACAAGAAAATGACTGACACCTGTAGAAAAACAAAAAAGAGAACTTCTGATTAAAAAGACAAAAGGAGATTGCTAGTGCAGTATCTTGCTAAAAAGAATACAAATATTCTTTTTGAATGACTATTCCTTTAATACAGATATAAAATGTTTAATATTACAATGTGTGATCACCACCATTTTGAATGTTTCTTAACAGTCTGAAATAAGACACCTGGATAGGACCCTAAAACCTCAGTCCTGAAAACCCTGATATACATGCATAACATTGCCCACACAAATAAGCAGTTATGGGGCTACAACCTTAATATGTATATACTCAATCAATATGGGCCATAACCTGGCTGACTCTGGTCCCTGCTTGCAAGGTTCACTGATGTTTACCCTATTTGTGTGCATGTACTGCAAGGCCTAACATGGTCCTTTTTAGTAGTTCTCTGGGTTTAAACCAACTTTGATTTCACAAAAGAAAAAAGTAAAGAAATCTTAGTATACTTCAGTTCACGTTGTAGATGTCACTGAAATCAAATTTTAGATAGCTTCGTGTTGATGTGGCATGTTTTTATGTTGATGTAGCATGTTTTTTATATTTATTCAAAACCTTAACAATGCTGATCTTTATTAAAACTAATAACATTTTTAATCTGCTGTCACTGAAGCATTTATTCTCTATTTTCTTAAGTTCTACTTGAGTGAAAAAAATCCAGTCCTAGCAAGAAATCTTTAATTATAAACATTACCGTTCTGCCACCATTCGGTAGATTAGTAATGAACACAAGGTTAAACTGAGGTTTTTGAGATGAACCTCTGTCTCAGCAGAAGGAGGTGGGAGAGGATCATTCAGTTTGCAAATATAGTCTTTCCTCTTTCTCTGACACAGATTCATGGCATGTCTGGATTTACTGAGATCTCAAAGTGTACTTATAAGGTGACATCAACAAATATTATGTGGCCACACTGTGCCCAGGATCCCCATGCAGATCTCATCCCACAGAGGAAAGGACAGCTTCTTCTACAGTACTATCACTACTTATCTATACCTCACAGAATACTGTTCACAGAATTAGGACTGATATGGTGTAGTCTGGACAACAACTGGGAAACGCCACCTTGGGGTGGGATGGGATGAAGTAAGAAACACCTAACCCCTCTTTCAGCCTTGAAACAAGTACTCATAACAATTAATGGAGTCTAGCACGGTAACTTAGTCTGAGGTGCCCTTGACTCATGAGGAATCACATTGTAAGGATGAAACAAAATACAGGACTATGTAGCACTTTATGTAAGGATGGTTACTGAGGCAAGTGTTATTAGGAGGTGTCCCTATTCCTGAGAGCCATTGTAGAGGGAGAAGAGGGGCACAGAGACAGATCTTAGACACTGGGCATCCATGCAGATGGCACAGAGATCCTTCAGTTTCTGGGAACCTTCCAGATTTACAAATGAGCCCCACCAGTTGTTTCATTTCAATCCCAACAGCATCCAAATTTTTGCAGTCCATTTTCTCACAAGTTTTTATTTCAAGTGCCAAGAACAAATTCCAGAATATTCTCATTTACAATAACATCTCTTTTGGCTAAAGTTCTTTGATGCATACAGACCCATGCTAAAAGCAAGCAGGGTGAGCAATAAGAAAGATTCCTTTGGCATGACTGTCTCCTCCTCATATATCCACATAAGAAACAAACTCCTACTGAATTGTTACAGGTAATCAAGTTGCTAATTAATGCCAAAAAAAGTAATTTTAGTGATTGCCTTATAAAATTGTTATGTTTATAAAGAATGTTTCTGACATAGCAGTTAGTAGGAAAGTAGAAATTAATCAGACGTTATCAATAAAAAGTGAAAAAAAACTCTTTTCATCTGCCGAATTCACATTCAAATGTAAATCTTGTAATTCTGTAGAATGATAAGCATTAAATATGAGTAATTAAAACACTTGGTATATGAACATGACAGGACTTGAAAGCAATGAGGCTTCCTACAATACACTGTATGAAAAAAATTATTGAAATATGCGGAAGTTGGAACAACCGATTCCTAAATAGGATATTCCGGTCTATCTACAATTGTAAGATTTTAATATTTTAGAACCTTCAATAATTATTGCACAAAGTTGCTTATTGTCTATTCAGTATTTATGCACACTCTTCTTGGTAAAGCATGACTGTGATCATTAAGCTCAGGGCAATGTTTGCCTTTTAAAGGCTCATGTTTCCTTCTCCTATTACTAATTAGTAATTCTAGTGCCCATTACTGTTGTATCTGAATGCATCACAAATAAAAACAAAAAATGTCTAGTTCAGGAGAAACAAACAAAGCAATGCGCCTTCATTCCACTTTCACAAAAAGTTGATTTTACCCCCCGTGTTACTCCTCTGACTGCAGGAGATCAGAATCAAGCCTGGAGGGACCCTGTTCATAGATATAACTGCTCTGAATAGTAATAAAATCGAGGTATGACAGACCACCAGGAAGAGCAAATGCCATCATCGGGGACCAGTCACAGAGAACAGCCTGCCTCCAAATTTCAGTGCCCCCCATCCAAGGATTTGCCATTCTGATGTTCCGTAGGTGGAGACTGCTTAGTTGCAGTTTGGATGTATCAACAGTGCAGTTCGACACCCAGGCCTGGCCTGTTCAACTGACTCAGGCTCATGGGGCTGGAACGTGGGCTAACGAGCTTTTCAATTGTGATATAGATATTAAGGTTCATGCTGCAGCCCGAGAACAGTACCTCCTGCTCTGCAGGTAGGATAGTCCCAGAGGTCAGGCTGCAGTCTGAGCCCAAATGTCCACACTGCAATTGATGAGCCCCGTAACCTGAACCCCATGGACCTGAGTCAGCTGCACAAGCCTGCCATGGGTATAACTGTCTGCACTGTAGATAAACCCCACATTTCTAACTGAAACGAAAAACTGTTTTATAAGATATAATGAAAGATAATTCTACTTCTCCTTTTTAAGGATCACCTGGTTTAGCTGCTTAAGTATATGCTATTAGCTGTGCAAGAGAAGAGACCCTAGAAAGCAAACTTAGTCATTCTTGCAAGAATTCTCAACTTTTCCCAACAACATGATTACATGTTTTCTGCCAGCACAAAGTATGCGAATTTGTCCAGGGCTGCTCCCCAGATTAAAAAGGTTTTTGCACCTACTATCTGGAACTATACAGTTAGCCTATAGAAAATATTTTTTCGAAACCTTCTAGGGCCCTCATGGCTCCCTTGTGCCTCCCCAAGTCGCTTAAACAAGCTGAGTGTTTTATGGATCATTTGGACTATGGCAGGCATGTCCAAAGTCCGGCCCGCGGGCCAAATGTGGCCCGCGGTCGGATTTAATACGGCCCCCCGCTTCTCCCGGCTCCCCGGTGCTTTTTCTAACTGGCGTGCTCAGCGCGCCGCTTCGGGCCGCCGCCGCCGCTGCCACGGTCCCAAACCCTGCCCCTGCACTCCGCTTTGGGGCTGAGAGTGCAGG